GGGTGGGAGGCGGCGGCGGCGGCGGAGTCACGATCAAGTGGAGCGATCAGCTCCAGTCGACCCTTTGCGCGTCGAATCGGCCGAACGGAAAGGAAAGGTCTCCGTCCCCGGTGACCATGATCGAGAAGCCCAGGGCGAAGTCCGAAGGGTCGGTGCCGATAGTCGAACCAGAAGCGAGCGGATTGGAGACGGCGAGAACGAGGATCAGAACCCTACCCTGCCCACCTTCTACCCCGGAACCTGGACACCGCTCGAGTTGGACATGATGTTGAACATGAGGGGGATAGGATGGGAATGGGGTCTTCCCTCCTCGCCGCCCTGCCAACCCGTCCGTACCTTGAGCCGCGAGCAAAGGAATGCTTGGACCGTCCGTAGGATCCGGAGCTTTTGCCTCGTCTACCTCCTCTGCGACCTACTCGATAGTGCTGTCAAGAACGTCGACCTGAACCCGGCCGCGGGCTTCGAACGAGGCGGGAGTGTTTGGTTGGCAAGGCAAGGGGTTCTGGGTCCACTGGGACCTCCTTGCCTGGTGATCAGCTTGGGCTTCATGGTCTACGCCGCGATCCAGGCGGGCAACTGCCTCCTCGGATTCCTCTCCGTTTCCATCCTGAGGGACTCGCCCGATCGATGGGAACCTTTGCCTTTCGACCGACCCTGGTCGGCCACCTCCCTCAGGGAACTCTGGACTTTCCGATGGCACCAGATCTTTCGAAGGTGCTTCCTCCGCTTGGCTCACGATCCGGTTCGAAACCTTCTCTCGAGAAAAATCGGAAGGTCCGGAGCGAGATTCGCCGCCGTCGCCGCCGTCTTCATCTACTCGGCCCTCCTGCATGACTGGGGTCAAGCCGCCATGGTAGAGGGACAAGGAATGTGGCCCACCAAGACGGGCGCCTTTTTCGTTCTCCAAGGTGCTGGAACCCTGGCCGAACATGGTTTCCAAGCCTGGTCCGGAAGGAGGGTCGGAGGGATCCTAGGATGGATCTGGGTCTACACCTGGATGACCTGGACGGGCTTGCTATGTACAGATGTAGGTCAGAGTTCCAAGTCCTGCCCCCACCCCCCCGGGGTGCCCCGAAAGCCTGAACGGAACTGACCTCCCACACACACACACACACACACACACACACACACACCCACACACTCACTTCTACCTTGTCTTGGCCTCCATCTTCCGTCCTCCACGCACAGACGTGGTTCCAAAGTGGCCTGCTCTCCTCCAGCCTCACATTCAAGCTCACTTTCCCTTTAGTTGAGTGGGTCGTAGACCAGGCAAAGGCCAACCTCTGATCAAGATAGATGGGACGCTGTGAAAGGGGCCTGCGTGCCCACTCACACGAAACCCCCACCGGATCGTAACCAACGCAAGGTTTGTCATTATGAGTAATTAGAAAGCCTTTCAGCGAAACAGACTTTCTGGATGGATTCTTCTGCCGTACATGGACCGTCGTGGTACCCTTCCCCATCGTCTCAGCTCAGATCCCAAGGATCGTCCTCTTCCTCATCCACAGCTGCAATCCCTTGCCGATCCGCGACAGTCCCTTGATCCCCATCCCCATCGTGAGCCAGCGGTTCTGAGACCCGTCCCGAAGTCGTCCCGCCCTCCTGATCGATCGGATCCTTGTCCTGTTCTACAAGCTCGCCCTCCCGAGCCTTTCCAACCCTGGCGTACTCTTGGTACTCGTCCGTATCCTCGAGGTCGTCCTTAGTATCGCCATATTGTTCCTGGGCCTCGAGATGCGATCCCTTCCTCTCCTCCTCCTCCTCCTCCTCCTTCCCCTGACCACCTTCCTCCAGCACTGAGACCGAACCACCCGCCTGGTCCAAGATCCTCAGGCTATGAGCCAACCCCCTCTCCAAAGCCTCTGCCTCGGTCTGGAGGCTAGCAAGCTTGGAATGGAGTAGATCCAACCTCGTGCCTTTGACGAACCCCTTGGAGGCGCTTGGAGGAGATCTTGTCGAGGAGGAGGAAGGGTAGGGTGGGGTTCCAGAGTGAGGCTCCGAAGCTGGCGGCTTGTAAGGACCCAGCAGGGAGGAGGAGGAGGAGGAAAAGGAGGGAGGGTTGCGGCGGTGGTCGCTCAGGGAAACGTCGACGACCTCCTCCTCGTTCAGGTTGATGATCCTCTGACAGGAATCGATGAACCGGAGCGAGAGGGACTGGTAAATCGGATCAGTTGGTGGCGGAGATGGAGGAAGACCCTCGTTCGTCATCGTCGAGGCAGAATGGGATCCCAGAAGGAGGAGCAGAGCCTGCCCATCGTCGATTCTAGAGGCAAGCGAAGGACGAGGTTGGAGGGGATCTCGGCTCGATGACGATGAGAGGTCTGAGAGGAAAGGGTGGAGATCACGGCCCTTCCGATCGGATCCGAGGTGGGACTCGAGAAGTTGCAGGTCGGAAAGGATCTCTTGCAAGGAGAGTCGGTGGTGGTCTTGGGGTTGAGGAGAGCGAGTGGTGGGGTCGGGATTCGTCATTTTTAACCCAACTCCGGGGGGAGGTTGGGGATGGGAAGAGAGAGAGCTCCTTTGCCCACTCGCCGTTGGTTCACCCTCCCCGAAATTCGGGAGGGCGTAAGAGATGTGATTCGAACAGGCGGTCGAATCAAACCAGGTTGTGGGATTGAGAAAGAGGTGGGAGGAAGGGTGACCGGAGATGGACCTGCGGAGTGGGTTCGAGTTGCCACTGGACGTCGAGCAGCTTTGGGGCGATTTCGGAATTCGAGGTGAGGGTTCCCGGTTCACCCTGTCAGTTAACGTTAGGGAGAGAGGTAAGGGAGAGAGGTAAGAGAGAGAGAGGGGAGAGCGACTGTCGCCTTGAAAGTGGAAGGCTGGTATCAAGTGTCGAGTCGCCGCCGCCCCCAAAACCAAGTTCTTGACGCCGAAGGAGCAGCAGTTGGAACACTTGGCTCGAGCACGCAACGCCTGCGAAACCGCTCCAAACCTCCCTCCCTCCCTTCCCCACCGCTCCGCCACCGGTATCCTCTTCCAATCACCATCACCACCATCAACCTCCACTGACAACGCCGCCTTGATCGTACCATGTGGAATTGGAATGCAATTTCTTCATTAGGACCAGCCACCTCCAGCCACCTCCAAAAGGGGAAGAAAGAAGAATGACGAGGAAATCAAACTCGTCCGTCCGCTGGGCTTCATTGGCGTCCCCAACGAGTTGATCGAACAAAGCTTTCACATCCGGCGGGATTCTCACTGCTAACAATTGGTTCTTGCTCCCTCCCTCTCCCTCCCTTTCTCTCCCCACCTTCCCAACACTGGCGCTTGACCAATGGATCACATAAAGATACACGGTACCTTCCATCCATCACCGCTACCTGTGGCTTGCCCCCTCCCTGATCCTCGGTGGTTCCTGAAAACCAAATAAAGTAAAGCCTGCCAATAAACGGGAAAGTAAATGATGTTCCCACACAAAAGACACCACTTTCCCCATGCCGTGATTCTAGGATGTTTCAGAGAGTTCTCCGGGAGCAACCTCGGAATCCCATACTCTGTCATCCACCTTGCCGGCCTTTTTCTGAGGGAGATGCCTAGTTCAACGCAAAAGCTCGAGGGGGGGGAGAAGGGCTGTATAATGTCCCAAGATTTGGTCCGCTTGTTCGTAACAGTGGTCCCTTCAGGGCGGCTGCCGTGGATGACCGGATGGGTGGTCTTCGTGAAGAGCACCTGTTGACTACAAAAGGAAACCCCCGCTCTCCCTTGTTCCACTTCGGGCACTTGTCGTCCACACCCTTCCCCCTCACCCTCCATCATTCTTCTCCCTCCCTCCCTATCTCTCCTCTCCCTACCTCTCCCTCCCTCAACTGAAAGCACGTTCTACCTCTTTCGCGCTCCACTTGCACATCAGAGACCATGCTGACCCTCAGATCCACAACAACGCTCTTGGCATTCCTTCTCGTCTCCAGTCGTGAGTTACCTCCCGCCCAACCCCTTTAGTTCTGGGAAAGCCTCGGGAGTACTTGCTCTTGATCGACGCGCCTTCTCAAATCTCCCAAAAATTCCTTGGACTTCGCAAACACCTCCCCCTCCCCATTCCAAGTCGCGAAAGTCGGAGTCAACTCATCCCCATTGCTAGCAACCTGCCTGATCTCCTGCGGCAGCCAGAGACACGGGGATAAGAACTGCGTGGCCGTCGAACCCAACAGGCCCAAGTTCGCTTGCGGTTGCCCTTGCGTCGTGAGTTTTGCCAGGGTAACGTAGAAGCCTGCTTGGGGGATTCCCCCTTTCATCAGAAGAATCGGGGGTAGGGCGACGGGTTTGCAGGAAGGGAGTGCAATCACCACGAGGACTGACTTTGGGGTAACTCGCTTCTCCGACCCCCCCCCCCCCAAAACCGCCAGGTCTGCGACGATGGCAACGTCTACGCTCCAGATCTCGCGCAGAGCGGTTCCACCCAACCCCTCGGTCAAGGCTTGGCCTCGGACTGTTCAGCGCTTCAAGATCTCAACCAGTGTATCTGGCTCAGCGAGACCATGAGGAGGTGCAACAGGGTGTGCCAAGGTGGTCAGGATCCAGACCAGGATTGCGCTTGCTACGAGGATGGGAACAACTGAATGCCACAGAGGGAAGGTAGGGGAAAGAAAGCGTCGAGAGGTGGGGGGGTGTTTGAAGAAGAAAGTTGTATTCCCGCATCCGCCTCGTCATTTCATTCCATCCCTTCCATCACCTATTTTTTTTTCTCTCCTTTTCGAGGGACAAAGAGGCATAAGATCAGGTATCGAAATCCACTCTAAAAAGGTGGTGGAAAAACTTAGAAAGAAAGGGAGGAAAACAAAACACCACTTCTCTTACCATTTCGCCTTCCCTCAGTTTCTCTAGAACAATGCCGTGGGATTGGAATGCGTATTGGTTGCGACAAGGTGCTGGTGAAGCTGCTGTTCAGGCCTTCCTTCTTTCACTCCCACTCTCAACTGATGTTGGAAGGTGAATCTTGTTTCTTTGAGGAGAGTGATTTGTGATGATATTTAGTATAATTCATCCATCAGCGACAACAAGGTTGTATGGTCCAACGGTTATGACGTCAGATTCTGACTCTGCCTGAAAATTCAGGTGCCTTACTCGTCATTCATTCTGAAGACCCGCGTTCGACTCGCGGTACGACCTTCTTTTTCAAGCTTCTTTTTTCCCCTCCTTCACTCACGCTGGGATGAGGGTCGCTCCCATCCTTCCAAGGAGCTAAGAATGTCGCATCATTCTTTTCTTTACTTGTTCCGTCTCCTATCGATTCCTAGTGCTCTCGTAATCACTACAAGTTTCTATCTCCAACACCTTGCGTGCAAACGCCAAGCCTACTGTGGATCGAGGGGGTAAGTAGGCGAAGAAAGGGGGGGGAGGTGGTGGAACCGGAGGATATCCTTATCACCATGGTTTGCTGGTCTTCCTCCTCCACCTCTCCGCGTTCTTGATGGACTTCTCCTTCCTCTTCCAGGCCATCTTCATCTCCCTCTCTGTTGGTAGACCCGACTCTCCCAACCAGTCGACGAGGAAGCCTCTCAATGGGCCGGCGAAGTTGCTCTCGTCCCCTCCCCCCCATGCGGCGGCGGAGGGTGGGGTGGACTCGTATACCTCCAAGCAGATCATGGAGAGTGTCATCTTGGTGGGTCTCAGGTCCAACTTTTTCATCCAGCTCAACACCATGACGAGCTCTTCGAGGTCGAATTCGGTCGCCACCTCGTCCTCGGAAGGGAAGATGGACTTTCTTGGGGGAGGGTTGTCCCTCATGAAGAGGATGAGCCTGACGTACCTCTCGAACAGCTTTGAGCAGACGTTGATGCTATTGGAGAGATCTTCGGTGCCTCCCACTTCCTCAAGGGAAGGAGCATCGGCCCCGTTCGTGGTCGACGAGCCCATGGACCGAAGACGTTGTTGGGTCCCGCTTGGGTCCGCCGCTCCTTCGATCTCGACAAGACGACCGGAGGGAGTCGTAGCCTTCCTGGTGCGGAAGAGGAGGTTTCCCATCCACCTCTCCACCATCCTCATCCCCAGCTCGCCTCTCATGGCCCACCCGTGTTTGTACCCTTCAAGAGGCCCTTTGCACCTCTTCAGAAAGGGATATTGCTTCATCAGGATCTGGTGGAACACCTTCTTGGCAATGTAGGGCGAGAAATTGCCGTCCCAGGTGAGCTGGTGGCCTTCTCGCAAAGCGTTCCTGTCAGATCCAAGCGCACTCTTCATAAGGATGTCGAGGAGCGGAGCCCCGGGGATAACTCCAGTGGTCTCCTTTAAAGCGCTCCAGATGTCGTAGACGGCGTTCGAGGATCGGTTCCTATAGAGGCCTTGGAAGAGGATAGCCACCGTGATCTCGTTGGGTCTTAGCGTCAGCCTCCCGACCTTGACCCCGGCCGCCTCGGCGTCCACTCCGTGACTTGGCTCTACCTCACCACTATCCGCGGTCCCCTCACCCGTGGGAAGGATTTCGGGCAGAGTGAGGAAATCCTTGCTCTCGACATGTTCGTTTGCGAGGAGGACGCCGTCCGTCGTCCAGGTTTTCACCTGCTCCATTGCGGTCCGCGCATCTCTCATCTCGAAGAGGGTTTGAAGGTAGATGTTGAAGCAGACGACCGAAGGACGAATGCCCCTGCGGAGCATGGCTTGCCATACTCCCAAGACCGTCCTGTAATCACCCCTCTGGGAGAGTCCTATCATGATTCGGGTGTGCGCCTTCTCGCTGCTCACCAAGAGGTCGGCGAATTTGGACGGAAGTCCCTGGATGGGGAACTTGTCAACCTTGTCGTTCGACGTTGCGATACGTAGGAAGGAAAGGACATGATCCACGGGGATGCGGGAGTCACGAGCTGCCAACTCGGCCACAGCGAGCCAGTTGGAGAGCTCGCCTACCGACTCTGGTTCCAGACTGAAGCTTTGTGCCTTGTCCTGGTAGGTTTGGACGGCGTCCCAAGCTTCGTTCGAGGCGGCCTCGGACTTGATGAGCATCAGGGACTTGACATAGAAGGCCAGCTTCTTCAGCTCCTTTTCCATCTCTTCCTTTGTCAGCGTCCCGTCCGAAGGCGAGGCCGAGTCGTTCTCCGAGCTTGCGCGACGCTTGCTTTCTCGGATATCGTCCAGCTCGTCGAACCACTGACGAGCCAGACTCAGGTCTCCTCGCCTGGCAGCGGCCTTGATGGCAGCCATGAGCGGGATAGACCGGTCGCCAGTCCATCCTTCGAGCAACTTGGAGGCGATGTCTGCGTCGAGGAAGCCTTCCCTCCGAGACTTGAAGGCTGGAGCCGGTACCTTTCTCGTCTTGTCCAAGAAGCAGGTAGGTTCCCAGCGGTTGACCTGGAGGAGGATGGCATTGATGCGCTCGGCCAAGGTGGCCGACTTGGCCTTGGCCCCTTGGTAGAGTCGGAGCGCAGCCCTTCTCGCTCTTTCGTCACTGTGACGAATCAGAAGGAAGGCGAAGTGAGACCCAAGCCGATAGGCCGCATTCTCCTCCACCTCCTCCCTGCCCATGAACCAGACGGCCAGGTCGGTCATCCTGCCACAGAGGTGGAGGCAAGGCATCTCCAAGAGCGCCTTCTCAGCCAGGATGCAGAACGAGTGCCAGAACCTCCTTAACCGCAGCCTTTGGTGATTGGCCTCAAGCACACAAAGCGCATCCTCGGCCTCGGCCATGTTGGAAATCTTGAAGAGGCAGTTCCTAAGGACAAACCCCCTCCAAGAACTCTCTCCGCTGCCTTCCATGTAGGCGCGAGCTTGGGTCCAGCTTGGGGCGGCCAAGGCGTTTCGTGACCTAAGCCATTCTTCCTCCGATTTGTTCTGTTGTTTGAGGTAGGATCTCAGTTGCTCGGCGGTGATCTCTAGCTTTTGGTGCTCCGAGAGGCGAAGTTGGAAGGCCCACGAGGCCAGGCCTGAAAGGGCATCTTCAACTGTCAGGGCGGGTATGATTGCCTGAGCGCGTTTAGGGTCCTGACTGGCAGGGCTCAGATGGAGCGTGAGGAGGTCATACCTGTATCCTTCAAGCACGGATCGAGACGAGGAGGAATCTGGGCCGGTATCGATCCGATCCAAGGTTGGAAAGGAATCGGCAACGAGGCTGATGGCTCCTGACGTTGGTTGCTGCTGCTGCTGGCAAGGCTGGTGGGCCTGGATGGTGTGAATCGAGCACGATCTGTGAGCATTTCGTTGTCTGTTGGGCTGAAGGAGACCACTTTTGGAGAGAAACGACGGATCCGAATGGGATGCCAAAGTCGACACTGATGTGCTGGACGCCTTGGAGAGGAGGTTGCCTTGAGAGGTGGTCAAGGAGGGGAGTTGTCGCAAAGCCTTTAGGGCCGAGCTGGGAACAAGTGTCATGTCATGGGATCGTGGTGTGTGTGTGTGTGTGTGGGAGGGCGAAGGGAAAGAGAAGGGCTAGGTCGAAAGGGGAGTGCTAGCTGGGAACCTCTATGATGCTTTGCGAGAGGGGAGGGTGGGGTCAAATGGCAGTGGAGATGAGAGTAAGAAGGTGGGATGCGTTGTAGAATCGCTTCAAAAGCGTCTGCTTGCATCCAAAGTGACAGCCACGCTCGCTCATCCACTTGTCGCCTTCTTGGACGTTGCTCTGCGTGCGAGAGAGGTTGGCGAGGAGATCGGGAAAAGGGATGAATAAAAAGAAGCTGATCTTCAACGCTGCGAATCGAAACCGTCCTGATCGGATCCGATCTATCTCTCCTCCTCATAAGGACATGCGAACCCTACCTGATCGGGATGCATCGGGAGGTTTCTCTCTCTCCCTCCATCGCGCGAATCGTATCGCTTGCTGCGGCTTGGAAGACCTGTCTCGCTCTCATTTTTATTATTCTCTTTTCCCCTTTCCTCTCTTTTCCCATATCCTCTCTTTGCCTCCCCCCCTCCCCGCATTAAAACCGAGGGTGGCAGGGTGGCAACGCTGGAAGGATCATGATTCTATTCTGATTTGGAATTTTAAAAGAGAACAAGCCTTCGACCCGTATCGTCTAAGGACGTTCAAGGTGCCCCACCTCCATAGGTTTTCAGCATGCACTCTTTGAGGAAGGGTGAAAAGCTGTCACAAGCTTTTGCTCAGTGGCAGTCGAAGAGGGAATGGTGGAGAGTCTCTGTGCGTTTACTCAAGCTTGACTCGTAGTATGGTGAGAGAGAAACTTCCAAGTAGGTTTGGAAGACTAGTCGCAGGGAAAGCGAAGAACGGTTTCAGGGAAGGAAGTCCAACGCAGAGCCTGACTTCAAACCTCTTTTTGTGATTTCCACCTTCGTGCTTACGATTCGCGCGAGGGAAGGCTCCAGTCTCTCGAGTGAGGGGATGCAGCCAGGTGACTCAACCGACACACGACCTTCCTCTTTCCCCTCCCTTTTCCCTTTCCCCTCCCCTTTCTCTTTTTCACTTTCTTTTTAGCCCTTCTCGATCGCTTTCGCCAACCTCGACTTGAAAAACGAAAAAAAAAAACCCCTCGCGAGGGCCTGGCTTGACAAAGAGCCAAAGCTCAAGGAAGGAGAATTCAATCACCAAAGATTCGTAGTCGCTCCCCTCCCTCTTCTTCCTCTTCTAAGCATATCTCAACCCCCACCACACTACACTCGGCTTGAATCAAGCAACACTCCTCCCTCCTTCCTCCTTCCTTCTCCCTCCCTTCTTTCCACCCCCCAAAAGCCTTTACTTCTAACCCCTTCTCCTCTTAGGGATACAAGTGGCACCCCATATCCCCCAAAAAACAAGTCATCCTCTTTCTTTGGACGACTCACTAAAACCAACCAAAATCCGAATCACCATCCGATCTAAAGGAGGTCCGACATCCTCATCTAGAATCGATAGCCAGCTGCCCAAGTCCTCCTCTCTCCTTCCCAGGCTTTAAAAAAGGGCACTTTCAGCATCACGACTCAGCGTCAATCAATCAAGCAAAGTCGACCAAGGAATTCCAGAGCCTCATCGACTTCGACCAGCTCCGTTCTTTTTTCTTCTCTTCTTTTCCCTTTTCTACCCCTTTCCCTTCAAAACCTTGATAAGGAATAATATCAAGAACTGAAGATGGCATCAGAAGCACCTCAGACCAACGGGACTGACGCGCAAGTCACCAAGCTTTCGGAAGATGTTCAGGCTCTCAGCCTCGGTGGGTATCATAGAGGCAGGAGGAAGAGGAGGATACCAG